ATTGATTTGATCAACGATTTTCCTTGTTGTGGATACGACTTATGTGTTCCTGAAGGTTTTCTTTTGATGTAAATTGAGGTGTCTCTGATGGCTCCCTTTTGAGGTGAATTGGGTGTGGCATAGCTCACATTGGAACGGTTTATCGCCAGAATGGGTTCGCATGTGTCTTTCCATATTTGTTTTGACTGAACCGATAAATTTTTTGCACAAATGACATTCATAGCACCGTCGATTGCAGTTTGTTTCATGAGCTTTGCATTGAGATTGTTTCGCGAATCCTTGGTGACAGATCGAACATTTGAATGGGAGCTTCTTCGTATGATATACAATGTGTTTGTTGAGACTAACTTTGTGTGTGAATTTCTTCGGACAATGTTGACATTCGAACGGGGTTTCACCAGAGTGTGTGCGCATATGGTCGATCAAATTGCATTTGTTGAAACTAAATGACTTTCCACAAACATAGCATTCATACAAACAGCGATTACACTTCCCCTCATGTGCATTTCTTTCATCTTGGCGAACGAATCCCAGACGACATCTGGTACAGCGGAATGAACGTAGACCACCATGAACCTTCATGTGTCCCTTAAGATGACTTTTTCGTGCAAATAGTTTGAAGCATTCGTTGCATTGGAATGGTTTGTTACCACTATGCACACACATGTGATTCATCAGATTCGCCTTTATTGATCCAAAAGAATCCTTGCACAAATGACATTCGTAGCGACGAGTCGTGCAATTGGCCTGGTGAGCTTCCTTTCCGTTTTTTCCATCGAATCCTTGCAAACAGTAAGGGCAATGGAACAGAAACTCTTCGATGTGAGCTTTCATGTGGGCACGAAGATTTTGTTTGCTTGTAAAACGTTTCGGGCAGAAATCGCATCCATGTGGCTTCTCGCCAGTGTGTTTCAGCATGTGCTTATTTAAATCACCTTTCCATCGCGTTGAATAGACGCAAATGTGGCATTTATGTTTCTTTGATAAATTTGGATGAGCATTGCCATCTCGCTTCTGTGTATCGCATCCACCTTCATCACCTTGTTGCGGCGGCTGCTGATTTTGATGGCCATCCGTAGCTTCTTCACTTGAGTCAGCATTTATTTTCGAGTCTTCTTCTTTGTTATCTTCACATTCTTTCTTCACCTCGACCTTAGCATCGACCTCGTCCAAGTGATCCAAATCATATTCAACGTCACGCACATTGAAACCAGGAACATATCGTAGATTGCGATAAGTCAATGCCGACACTTCAACCACTTCGTCGACAGACACTGGCTCATTTTTAATGTCACCTTCTTGTTTGATTTCGATTGAATCCGAAGACTGAATATGGTTTTGGTTTGCGGACATTCTCAGGCTTTTCGTATCAGTTGGGAGGCCAGAGCTGTGCTCCGCGTTTACTGCTCGCCTGAATGAACAAAATTTCACAATTGAAAGATAGAAGAATACTTTCGAGGTTAGGTTTGTTTGTACAAATGCTATAGGATCAATGAAATTCTTGTCTTCAAAATTATTTAAATAAATTTTAGCGCGTGAAAATAATCGATTATAGTAGTTGATTGACGCTTTAGCTTCGATAGTCCAATATTGATTTCATTCATCCAATGCTAATATTGATGCTATCGAAATGCACCCACTTGTCAGTGAGACTTCAAAATGTACTTACTTCGTTTTATTGTCCGTCAATTACACCGATTCTATGACCTCCGTCGTGTTTCGGTGGTTTTTACAATTCGAAATTTTATTTTTTATAAAAATTACTTGAACTGAAATTTTTTTGTTGGTTTTCGAATGAAATATTTGCCTCACCAGGTGTCGATAGGTTGTGGTACGTGTTTTCACCTCGATTGTTACCAATGAAAAGAATGTTCATTTGCTATGTCCAACGATAGTGCGGCAAATATGGTGCATGTGATTGTGTGCGTTCAAATAAATTCATGAGGCTGTGTGAGAAGTGCTTGCTCAAACGTCACTTGTCAAACTCTCTGCGTGGTGAATGATGTGTACTACAGCTGTCAAAAATCGGTATTTTATTAATATGTTAATAAACAACATATTTTAATAATTAATAAAAATGTTGAAACACCATATTTATTAACGTTAATAAATATAGTGCATTTTATTAACATATTAATAATTATTAGTATGGTGAATTTTCGGTTATTAATATGGTGTAGATTTTATTAAAATGTTAATAACGATATTTTATTAGAATTTTAATAAAATCGACAATTTTTTTATTAGAATTTTAATAAAATGTGGTTATTAATATGGTGCCGATTTTATTAGAATTCTAATAAATTCGACAACATATTGGATTTCATCCGATTTTATCAACGGACGACATCATGTTCACATCAAAGTCTATTCAACACAGCGTTTAGATTAAGACAATCATTTATCACCACAAAATCTCAAAGAAAAACGAGTCTGGAGATATTCGACATGTTTTTTGTATGAAACTTTTCAAAAAAATTGCGAAGAAAAGTTTCATATAAAATTCATGTCAGTTTTTGCCAGACGACAAAATCTCGATGAAAAATGAGTCTGGAAATATTTGACAGTTTTTTTGTATGAAACTTTTCAAAAAAAATCCGAAGAAAAGTTAATAACCACATTTTATTAACATTTTAATAAAATCTACACCATATTAATAACCGAAAATTTACCATACTAATAATTATTAATATGTTAATAAAATGCACTATATTTTATTAAAGTTAATAAAAAATTCATTTTATTAAAATATTAATAAATTATTAATATGTTAATAAAAAAATATGTTAATAAATTATTAATATGTTAATAAAGTGACAGCTGTAATGTGTACAGAGTTTTGATTCATCTCAGCGAGATTCCAATGGTCGCAAATGATATTTTTCAAATTCAAAATTGATTCATTGCAAAGCATTTATTGAAAACGATATTTCATGTTGGATTGCTATGAAGAGTGTTCATTGGAAAGAGATTTTCGACGAATATTTTATGAAAATTGAATATGATTTGAATTGATAACATGATTTTCTAAATTCATAAGGAACGAAATATTTTTCAAATTGATTTTTCGAGCATACAATTTTGAAGCACTTTTTACCGATTAGAAAATTTGAATTTTTTATGGTTCATTATGATTTTTCTTCAACCAATGAATTTGATTCTGATGGTAAGTGGCTTTAGCTGACGATGGACAATGAAAACATACTTTTGCAACCAAATTACATTGTTCAGTAATTTCTATGGTGAATGGGTTTCATATGGTTTTTCAAAATCCATTCAAAATCCTAGGGGCTTCTATGTCGGTTTGGCATTCGAATTTTTATTCACAAATTCGCGCTCAGTGCATTCGCAACGCTGCCATATGATTTCTATGTAAACATTCGCACTCGCATTCGTATGGCAGTTGTATTTCGCCGTTCTCGAACGTTCTCACGAATGCGAGTGCGAATGTTTACATAGAAATCATACGGCAGCGTCGCAAATGCATGCCCAAACACGAATGAACGAATGAATTATGTAGTCACAAGTTCGATGTCATAGCCGCATTCGTCGCATTCGCAAACATTCGAATTTTTGTTCTGAAATGCGAATGCATTCGCAGCATTCGCGAGAGATAAATCCCCTTAGTCAAAATCATTCGCAAAATACCCAGAATATTCCTATGAATATCATAACTTTTTTAAGTTTGGTATGGTCGTCAGACAAAAATTTTCAAACTATTATTGCAGCTACGCCACTGAGCTGTTGTTTAAGTGTATGTAGCCATAAAGTTGCTGAGCTCAGCTATGAGGGCTATATATTTAGCCCAAACGTTACTGCATACACTTCTTTAAAAAAAATCCGATTCGGGAAAGACGTGCCATAAGGTGATTCTATGGTTTCTGCGGCTGTTGTCTTTCGAATAATATTTCTTTTAATAGATTTTTCTCAAGAATTGTTAATTTAGTACGGTGCCGGATGAACACTTGTCCATGCAGGTATAGTGAAAACATACATTCTCGGAAATGATGTCTTAGAGAGAAAATAATCCGAAAAGGATTAAGAATTGACTTCGAATCATATCCGTGTGTCAATCTGGTTTCCTTGAATGAGCCCAACACAAATCGGAATGTCGTATTCTCTCTCGTCTTATATAAGGTCACTTCTTTTGTTTGAATCTCACATTCGACTGTTTAACCTCATCGAGCACAGAGTGATAGAATCATCGGAAGATTTTTTAAATTTAAAAAGACCATTTCTGTTAAAAAAATATTTCTCAAGATATTGTCAATTTAACTCGACCCAAAGAAAATTTAACACCATTTCTAACAATAACATTCAAACAATACCAAAAAGTTTGATAAATATCAACAGACCGTGAGTTATTTGTGTTTTTTCGTCCAGTTGTAAATACATAAAAATGAGTGAATCATCGAATTACAATCAATGGCGTCAGCCAAAATCAGCTACAATGGATCCATCAAAGGCATGGATAAGAAATGTCGGTGTTGGCTTAACAAGACGAAAAATGTTCAACAGTCACCGAAATGCTCACGTCCAAAAAACGGAACAACCACGAAGACCGGTGAATGGATATTCATCGGCCAATACAAACAATAAGAATCAAGTTTCAGCGAGTCGTGACATCGTTGACAGAGCGGCGAATGATCTGGAAAAGTGTCATATTTCCAATAGCTATTCAAAGTCATCGAACAGCAAACCGAAAGACGACCATTCATTTGCATTAACGCACACACAAATTGTCCGAGTGGCACTTGCTTCAGCACACGTGGCAGATCGAGCATTGGAGAGTGAAACAGCGCCCGGATCAAAGCAGAACGCTCAACCCATCTACATGGATGAAGCGGATGTGAATAATTTCATCAAAAGTGGCCACATTACATTTGTCCAAGGCAAATTACACTACAAAAAACCATCGAGCTGATTGTTTGACTCGCTTTTGATATATTTATGGCATACGGCGCACATTCAGTAATAAGAAATGAATTATTCGCCCAGTGGAGTGAGATAAAACTTTGAAATAATAGCACCATAAGAATCCAATTCTATTTTTGTATGATTTCATCCATAAACAATAAATACACATCTTTGAAAAAATCATAAATTGTTTCCATTATTCATGTCCATTTAAAAAAAATTCCTCAACTCGTGAGCATATCACACCAAAATAATATTTTTATTTCCAGACCCGATTAAAAAATGACGGAATTCATTCGTTGTGTTGAACTCCACTTTGATTCAAAATTAAATTGAATGCAACAGATTTGCCAATTTTACTGTCGTGCCGACTATTTCGTTCTGGATGATTTCCAAAGATAAAGAAAATAAAGCTAAAAGCCCATCAAAATTATTTAAAAAAACTACAAAAAGTGCACATTTGAAATTCAAATAGTGTTCCAGCCTTTAAAGTACCACACAAATGTACTTAACCGCACTCAAACGACCGAGTCTCCACTCTGACATAGGTATACGTATATGGAACGAACAACGAAAAATGTTTGACGTTTGGCCGATGACGACGACGCTTCATTTCTGTGCTCTCTCGTTTACTGACTATTGGCTTTTTTGTACGCTCTGTAAATGTTCCGTGTTTTAGATTTGTTTTATTCATTTCAATCGTCTAAATTTGTGTTCGTTGGAAAAAATCCAAGCGAATATTTTGGAAAGAATTGAATTTTGGTTATCAGGAAAATCGAAAATCGTTCAAAAACTGAACGCAGGCTTGTAACGCAACAGACGTCAGAATCTCACAACTGGGTGAGTTGTTCGATTGAAGCCAATTTTTTGCACAAAAATGCATAATCGAAACGACTTTTCAGTGTCCAATGGCAATGCGAATCGATTTTCTGATTTATAACAAACTATTGGAAATATGATTAAATTATAGGAAAAGGGAAATATTGAATGTGCATTGAAAATGTTGAGCAAATGTATCCAATTTCCACTCAATCTGTCACCGAATTGTTGTTTGGTCAATAAAATAAATTGTAATGTATTTCCAAACGATCCCGACGAGAAATTTGCGGTAAAATAGGTGTACGTCGACTATCCGTCGCATATCCGTTTTTGAGTGCGGATACTCGCAATGCGAATAGGTATCCACAATAAAAGTTGCCGCAAAATGTTATCGCTGAATACCCTGCGACTATTCGCGCTGCGATAAATGTGAAGTTGTAACTGGATCGAGTGTGACATTTCGACTTGAAACTTCGTACAACCAACGTGAAGTTGGCTGCGTTCGACGGACTTTTTCGTATTGCGACTATACGTAGAATAGTCGCAATGCGATATTCCGCAAATTTCTCGTCGGGGATATCTAATCAAAACATGTAATTTTTCTTCATTTCCAGCAACGATGAATGCAAACTCGCGCAGACATTTGGCCAGATACTGGTCGAACATTGAGGTAGAAACCATGGAAACGCTTCAATTGGTCAAAGAAGACTTTCAAAGTAGCGGCATGTCGCTCGATGGCGAATTCAAAGATTATTTCGTACGAGTAACAATTGATCGATTGAACGATCGGTAAGAAAGTCATTAATGTTTTTATTTTTAAAGCAATTTACCGAATTGATCGGTATATATTTTTGACATTTATTTTATTAATTAAAACCATGTCTCAACAATTCATTTTGTCTATAGAGTCACACGATTTTTCACTGAATGTGAATGGGAAAAGCAGTACATTGGCGGTCGATATAGTCAGGCGCCAGCCAACGAAAGTCCAATCATTACGATGGTCACCGAAGCAAACGGCGAGACAGGAATCATGATCAGTCAATCGACGACTGAGCCAATTCCAACCGAGATGTACGTTCCAAGCGACGCATCACTCGTATCGTTCCTGGCCAAACATACTGACCCTAACAATGATTCCACGATCGAAGCAATGTTCGGCAACGTTTCAGTGCCGGCCTCTCAAACTGACCAGACTCCATTGATTAGTGTGAATGGAAGTGACCAGAAAAAGGATGCCAATCGAAATTACTTGACGCAAATAGAGAATGGCATGCGACCAGCTATGAATACCACTGAATTGGCGAATGGAATGATGGCCAATCATTCGACAAACGATCCAATCGTACCGGATTTGATTGCACAACCGAATATTGCTGTGGATTGGCCTCAAGAACTGCCCACTTCGACTCCATTCCATGGCTTGGTCGAGGAATCCGAAACGAAAGCTTCAAGCTGTGGGTCGTTCCAGCGATTCTCATCGTTTTTGGACAGAAATATCGATCCAAACGATGTCACATCGACGATCAACGCAATGCTTGGTAACGCATCAATGATAACGGCTCAAATCGATCAGTCTCAAGCGACTCACGCGATTGAAACTGGGCCAAACGATGCCAACAATGGAATTGGCATCGTAGAAAAAGCGATTCGAACGACACCACCCGATGCAACTGGACCAGAGTTCAGTGATATGGCCGACATCAACTCGATGAATGCTCCAGAGAGCGAATCAAATGACGCCCAACTGCCAAATGAAACGGTTTTTGGTGGGTTCATTGACATCGACGATGAGATTTCGGCTGAGGAACAAGCTGCATCGAGTACACGAAACAACGAATCAACCAACCAAGTAACAGAATGCATGGATTTGACCTGTGAAGATGTCGAACCAAGATCAAAAGGCGCCAGCAATCAAATTGAGCGAAACGCTGTGCGACGAGGAGGAAACCAGCGCCAAAAGAGGAAAATTTTTGATGCAACGACGTCGGATGGAAGTGCGAAGAAGAGACGAAAGACGGGTCCACGATCGACACTGAAAACCATACCGGAATTGACTTCAGGTGAGATTTTTGATTGGTACGTGTAGAAACTTGATTTAGATTTTGATCTCGATTTCGATTCTCTTTCACAGAAGTGGCATTGATTGACAATACGAACAGTCAATCAGTCCAAGAGGAAGGTGCTGGCTTGAGTGGAGCCGAAAGTCAAAGTGCATCGACATCGAACGCGGAACAGATCGCAAAGAAGAGGAACGGCGTTGGCAAACATGCAGGTGAAAGTGGATCAAAGCGACATAAGTGTTCATTTTGTGAACACACTACATCATGGAAATGGAATTTGATAACGCATATGAGAACCCACGCAAATGAATTCCCGTTCCATTGTTCGATTTGTCGTCAAGGATTCGAGCTGAAGGAGGAAAAGGAAACGCATGAAAAAGACTGCAACGTACGTCGATATGAATGCTATTTTCGCGAGTGCGAGTTTTCCACATTTCACAAAACAAATTTAGTCAAGCATATGCGCCGTCATACCGGCGAGAAACCATTTTGTTGCTCCCATTGTCCACAACGATTTACTCAAAAAATTAATTTAAATCGACATTTCAAATGTCGCCACAATAAAACCAAATGATTTTATGCAACGCGTTTCGAAGACGTTCCATCGTCGAGAGATGTCTAGAGACACATCGATAGTTTTTGTGATTGTATCACATTCAGAAATGTATGTTAATCACTTGATTGTGCGTAGAAGAAATGACTCTCAAAAAATTGTACAAAGATTGATGAAAATCAGCTCGAAAATGTTGTGATTTAGCGTGTTCAATAGAATAAAAAGGACTTAGAATTAAGTTTCAGAGACAGAAATATCCAAATTGAAGAATTGTGACATAAAACATTTGATGTTCGTTAATAAAGTGAAAGAAATTACATAAGACATCCATTTGGTTTCTCTTGTTTCTTTGCAAAACTATATTCGACAGGAGACTCTCCTGAGGAGAGTTCTTTATCTTCAACTGAATAAAACGCATGAATTGACTGAAGTTATTTTAGAACTATAGATCGTTTAATCCGATGAAAAATGTTGGCAAATTCATTTAAAATATACTTCTAACATGTTCTAAATTCAAAAAGCTGCAGTATCCATTCCTCATTGGATTGCTAAATCGCAAGATGTTTGACGGATTATGGTCGGATCCATCTCATAATTAATTGGGCAAATCTGGAAATGAATATAAATTTTGTACTACAGATCCGTTACAAAAACGCAACGCTAATGATTTAGCAATTGAATTCATGTGCTGAGCTTAGATGGTGCTGATTGACCATCATTCGAATGGATTTCTTTTTGCCGTATTTTCTTCTTGTTGACATACTGCAGGCAAGCTTTCAGATGATGTTTCTTTTTACGTCCACCACAAATTCGTCTTCCGCAAAATTCACACGAGAACTTTTGTTTAATTTTTCCATATTTTAAGCGGTTGTTAGCGAATGGGATGTGGCTATGATTTTTGGCGTGATGTTCCTTGAAGCTGCGTTCCATACACCATGCATCGCATAAGCCACATTTGTGCAGTTTCTCAATTTTGACAGCATTGAGTCGAGGATGGTTCAATTTCATGTGGTTATCGAGTTGTTTTTCTTTAAATCGATTGTGGCACACTTTGCATTGCTCCTTGGTGGCCATCAATTCAAAAGTAATGTTACTCGGTAGCATTTCTTTGGGACATTTCAAACGGTGTCGGCCTAGATGATTTTCCAGTATGCTCGGAGCTTTGCAGGCATTGCACTTGAACATTCTGACTGGATCAATACGGACAACTGGCATTTTCTCAATATGCCTGCTGATCAACTTTCCATTTCGACCGACACACGTGTACTGAACCAAAGGATGACTTCGACGCATATGCTCGGCGAATTTATTCGGGCAAAATAGACTTTCACACAGGCACTGAACCCTTTCACACATGACACTTATACTGTAATCTACTTCAAAGACAGCCTTGTGGCTTCGACGGAAATGATTTATGAGTTGGTCCTTTAATAAACCTTCTGCACTAAAATATCTGCATTTGTACAGCTCCACGATGGTTGTCTGGAAGCAATGAACCAGCTTTGGCCTGGCCACTGAAGGAGTTTGAAAGTTGTACAGTTTTACGATGACTGTGTTCGAGCTTCGGTGGACTGGCAATGGTTCATTAGCTTTAGATTCGCAGCTTCCTTCTTCAACCTTCAAAACAACTGGATGAAACCGACGCATGTGTTCTTCCAGACGACCACCCTTCATTGTTATACGGCAAACATCGCATTTTACTTCTTGGCCTTTGGTACTCAGCACAAAATCTTGATCGGTTGCCGGAATTTCTGAATGTATTTTTGTACAATGCTTTGCTATATTTCGCTCATTGATACCGTCAGCTCCGCAAATGACGTATCTATACAATTTTGCTGGAGGCTTGTGTTCAATATTCACGACCTAAATGTAAAAGAGATGTATTTTGGGGTGAATCTTCGAGTTGAAAAATGTCCTATGACCAAACAATTGTATTGAATTGTTAAATTATTTAAAACGATTTTCTATTTCAACGTCTTTTAAATTGCTTACCTTTTGCGCAGACGCCTTCTGCTTGCCCGGAATGACCTTCATCACCTCATTTTTGGGCATCAACTGTATGGAACAAAAATATCAACAAAACTTTCATCATTGACAAGCAACAGAGAACCGTGTTGGATGAAGAAAATTTTAGATAAGGTCGTTTACCTTTGATTTACACGAATTGTTGTTGTGTTTATTGCTCTTTTTCTGCATATCGCTGATGTTCATTAAATCACCGCTTCCTGATGAAATTGATTCATCCATACAACTGGCTTTTAAGGTCACATATCGGCCGGAGTTTGACGAGTTGATTTTTGAAGATACCAATGCTTGTAGATGAACTTGTTGCAAATGTTCAATGAATTGTTCTTCATCGAAACGTTGACTGCAAACGGAACATTGCCCATTCACTTTGGCCTCGATCATTTGGAAAGTATTTTGAGACATTAAATAAGCGAAGCCGTGGTTTTCGGAATGGTGTTCGCTGAACTGGTCTTCAGTGATTCCACTGCTATGGCAGAGTTTGCATCGGTAATATTTGATAGTTTCCTTATGTACCAAAGCGAAATCATGATCAACCATTTCGAACGGTGGTTTTGGCAACTTTTCCTTTTCCAATGGCTGCTTTTTTCGGCAAGTAGCACAAAGATCCGGTGAACATGTCTCATTTGATGGATTGAAATCATTACTGTTGTACCCTCTAAGGTTTCTTACACCACAGACCATGCAATTGAATGGTTTGAGCACAATCAATTCATACTTTTTGCTAGTGTTCGCCTTCAATGGATTATTTTGGTTGCCATTTGTTGACGTACTCACTGCAATCGCTATTTCGTGGTGCATCTGCATGTGGTTCTCTTGATGTATTTCCTCCAACAGTTGTCTGCAAATCATGCACTGAACCCGTTTCCGTTTTTGTTCTCGAAACATCTTTGTATCAAAGAGAACATCCTGATGCATATTGAAATGATGCTCATTCAAGCCTTCCTCTTGAATATCTTGCCCGTGGCACAATTTACACTCGAATACTTTCACTTCAACGGACATGGTTGATACATTAGGCATGTGCACCAAATGCATGTGGCTCTCAAAACATCCAAGTGGTACCATCTTGTCACAAGTCAAACAGTAAATTTTGTTTTCGAAATCACACAGCTCATATATGTCCGTGCGTGGCTCTGTGGGGTGCACCTCCTTGTGGTGCATCTTCAAATTACATTCGGCCACTCTTGAATCGCAGACAACACATGTGTAACGACGAATTCGAATATATTCCGCATTTCCATATTTTAATGGATGTTCTGAGATACCAGGTACAAGTAGATCACTTTGATCCTTCAAATCTTCACATTTCATTTTCAATGCAGCAACTTTCTCTACCGACTGTGGTAGCCGTCTCTTTCTTTGTTTAACATGCGTTAGCTCAAAAATGTCTTGATCGCGAGGAATGTTTTTGTGCTGTCTTTGGTGATGTTTCGACAACTGATATTTCCATAAACCCCCCGTTCCACACACCGTACACTTGAATTTTTCAATTTCAATGGTGAAACTTTCCTGTCTGGCATTTGCTTCACAATTGCCGAAGGATTCATTAGAATTCAGCGATGGGTTGTTCGACATTTGATTGGGCGTTCGATGTGACTGGTTAAATATTTTCAGAACGGCTAAATTGAAATGGAATTCTATTACGAACAGACAATAGATTGAAAAAATCAAATAACATTTACCTGCAATTGGTTCGGCGCTGTGGCGTAATGTTGTCGATAGCACAAAATTTGCTGCTTTGTTTTGATGTTTGTTAGTCGCAGACGTCAAACCTGAAGCTTACTTCCTATGCTAATTCATTTTTACAAGTGACTAAACAATCTGCTCGATTGAATTGACTTCTTCCATTGAAAACTAGGCTCGTACTGCAAAATTAACGAAGGAGGAATATTTGCTTATTATTACAGTAGATAAAAATCTATGGCAATATTTTCTGTTATCAGCGTATCAGTGTTGAATTAACAGTGTGAATTTTAAATTTGTTTACATTTAATAAGACAAAAAAAACTTTAAGGGAGGGAAAAATGAACTATCACTCTCGTTGACTCAACAATCAATGACGGTTTTTCGTTAGCCAGCATTATCTTAGCCTTGGTTTACACCAACAACTGGTGTAAGCCAATCATTAGCCAGCTATCTGTGTGAAATGAGTACATTCAATTTACAATAATTTTTGATTTTTGTATTCTGATTCAAATCATACAAATTAAAATGAAAATTAATATATTTCATAAAAGTCATTTTTATAATTTGAATTATTATTATTTTTCAAAAATAACATCTTAATAAAAAAAATCGATGTTTGGTTTTATTTAAACTCTGAGTTGAATGTCAGTCCCAAACGTTAGTTCAGATGAGTGTGTTTAGTTACTTCCAACTAAACACACCCAGTTGGTCTATACATTCGTTAGCCAGTATACGCTTATGCGACTAATTAGCCAGCTTATTTGTTCTTCACTGTCAACAATCAAAAGAACTAATACTCAGCTTAAAAAAAACTCGAAATGTTTGTGACATTTCTACCAAAATAAAGTAAATTCCAACACTTTTACTTTATTTGGTAAATGTCACAAACATTTCGAATTTTTCTTCTAACTGAATATCATTTTATCTGGCTCTAAAGCGCTTTCTTATCTCTGCATACTTCTTAAGTGGCATTCGAATTCATTTTGTAAAGAAGAAAACAATTCATTGCGATTGAAGAATAATATAACATAATTTTTTCCAGACGAGTTTATTGATTACATTCAGCTAACATAATATCTGTTCCTAAGCGTTATCTCCTAATTAGCTGCAGTAAATTTTGATTTTGTGACTTGGAGTCCAGAAAAAAAACATCAAACCTTTGAATTTGTGACATATTTCCATGAAAAGAGTTGAAATATTTGTCACTTTCTACGTTTATGCAAATGTAGTACAACCACATTTACGTTATGTCTAGTCTAATGCGTTGCTCGCTACACACAATATTAACAAAACACAAAGAAACCTTACACTTTTGTTACTTCCAATTCCAAATGATTTTCCAAATTCCATTTCTGCGAAAAAAAAAAACATCTGTTACAATCAAAGCATCTCGACAATCAGGCGAGATTCAAATATAAGATCCACCCAGCAAGAGCTCATTTGACAGAAATCAACAATAGAATTTATTTTAATAATTTACTCAAATTCTCAACGAGAGAGCTACTTATTGACTCTACAATTTTGAATCGACAACGATTCAAATGCTTTATTTGCTTAATTCGGTCATCCGAATACTACGAGCAAATACTCCAATGAAAAATCCAAAACGCATCGCTTAGAGTAAATGTTAATTTTTTCTTTCCTTTCAAACTAATTTAAAGCGATGAAGAAGAGGAAAAATTGGCATCTTTCTATTGCCGGGGATCGAACCACGGACTTTCTGATTGCCGGTCAGATGCTCTGTCCATTGAGCTACAACGACCCCCAAGCGAATATTGTTGCATTTTTCATTTGAGCGCAAATTTTACCTTGTAATGTGATCAGATCAGAAATTGATTTTTGTTCAGTTTTTAGAAGTTATTTTGTTTGCTTTAATCGTATATTCGGCAGTATACATGATTATTTTCTGCTAAAACATGGGGATTCGCAAATCCCAAACAAAAGACATTACTATCGGCGGGCCAAAAGTCGATGTTAAAATAGGGATATTTTTACTATTGCTGTTGCTTTGTTGTTATTATTCTTCTAATTAGTCTCTTTGGACGGATTTTTCCGTAAAATTCCCAGTTTTAACACCTCTTAATTATTCACAGGTGCTCAAATACCTGGTAATGATGTCAAGTGCACCAGAAACATTCTTCGTGACTAGTGAAGGTATCCCAAAGAGGATTATGGATTAACTTCGAATTATACACGTATGTCAATCAGGTCAGTTTCCTCGAATACGTCCAATACAGTTCTGAACAGTAGTACCAGCAGAGTTTTAGTCTGTGAAAAGGTCGTATTTTCGTTCATCTTTATAAGGTCAAGTCTTTTGCTTGAATCTCACATTCGACTGTCTGACCTCATCGAGTCCAGAGTGAAATAAGCATCAGAAGATTTTTTAAATTTAAAACGACAAATTCTTCCAAACATATTTACTTGAAAATACATTGACAATTTAACTCGATTGAAGAGAATTTATCATCATTTTTAATAATAAAAAAAATACCAAAAATTCTGATATTTATCAACAGACCGTGAGTTATTTCTGTTTTTCGTCCAGTGCAAAAAAATGAGTGAATCATCGAATTACAATCAATGGCGTCAGCCAAAATCAGCTGGAATGGATCCATCAAAGGCATGGATAAGAAATGTCGGTGTTGGCTTAACAAGAGGAAAAATTTTCAACAGTCACCGAAATGCTCACGTCCAAAAAACGGAACAACCACGAAGACCGGTGAATGGATATTCATCGGCCAATACAAACAATAAGAATCAAGTTTCAGCGAGTCGTGCCATCGTTGACAGAGCGGCGAATGATCTGGAAAAGTGTCATATTTCCAATAGCTATTCAAAGTTATCGAACAGCAAATCGAAAGACAACCATTTGGTCGCATTTAGTACGCACGTACAAATAATGGATACAGTCCGGGAGGCACTTGCTTCAGAGAGTGAAACAGCGCCCGTATCAAAGCAGAACGCTCAACCCATCTACATGGATGAAGAGGATGTGAATTATTTCATGAAAAGTGGCCACATTACATTTGTTCAAGGCAAATTACACTACAAAAAATCATTGAGCTGATTGTTTAATTCACTTTTGATACATATTCGTGGCATACGACGCACATTTAGTAATAAGAAATTATTTATTAGTACAGTGGAGAAAAAAACGTTAGAATAATAGCACCATAAGAATCCAATTATATTCATGTATGATTTCATCCATAAACAATAAATACACAACCTCAAAAAAATCATGCAATCTTTCCATCATTCACACCTATTTAACTTGCCACCAAATAAAATTCACAACTCATAAATATTCTACACCAAACTAAACTTCTTTTTCCAGAGCCGACTAGAACAGACAGCAATTCATATGTTGTGTTGACACTCCACTTATGTTAGTTTCGAAATCGAATTGAATGCAATAGATTTTTCAATTCTAGCAATTTGTTGACAATTTTTCATTGAAATATCTTTTGAATGTGAGGAAACCGCAGCTGATGCCCATTAAAATTATTTTAGAAAACTATAAAAAGTGCGCATTTTAAATTCAAAAAAAGTTTCGGCTTTTAAAGTACCACACGAATGTACTTAACTGCACTCAAGCGGGTGAGTCTCCACTCTGACATACGTATACGTATACGTTACGAACACCGAAAAATGTTTGACGTTTGGCCGATGACGACGACGCTTCATTTCTGTGTTTTCTCGTCTACTGACTATTGGCTATTTTGTAGCTCTGTAAATGTTTCGTGTTTTAGATTTGTTTTATTCAATTGAATTGTCTAAATTTGTGTTTGTTAGACCAAATCCAAGCAAATATTTAAAAAAAATTGAATTTTGGTCATCAAAAACGTCGAGCAATTGAAATTCGTTCAAAAACTGTGGAATTGTAACGCAAGAGACGTCAGAATCTCGCAATCAGGTAAGTTGTTCGATTGAAGCCAATTTTTTCCCAATAAAAAGCTGATTCGGAACGACTTTCTATTGCCAAATTGAGTGTGAATCGATTTTCTGATTTACAAAATAACAATTGAAATGTGATCAGATGAACGGGAAAAGCGGAATATTGAAATGTCACTGAAAATGTTGAGCAAGTGTATCTAATTTTCACTCAATCTGTCTCCGAATTGTCGTTTGATCAATAAAATTGTTTGTAATATATTTCCAAACGATATCTAATGAAAACAATATGATTTTTCTCAATTTCCAGCAACGATGAATTCGAATTCGCGCAGACGTTTGGCCAGATACTGGTCGAACATTGAGATAGAAACCAAGGAAACGCTACAATCGGTCAAAGAAGACTTTCAAAGTAGCGGCATGTCGTTTGATAGCAAATTCAAAGAATTTTTTGTGCGAGTGACAATTGATCGGTGAGAAACTCATTGTTGTTTTCATTTCTACAGCAATTTGCTGAATTGATTTGTGAATGTTTTCGAAATTTATTGAATAAAACATAAAACCATAAAAATATTGGCAAATTTGTCAATCATTTAATCCACAGCGTCACACGATTGTTCACTGAATGTGAATTGGAAGAGCAGTACATTGGCGTTCGACCTATTCAGGCAGCAGTCAACCAAAATCCAATCAACACGACGACTGCCAAAACAAACGGCGAGACAGGAATCATGATCAGTCAACTGACGGCTAACCCAATTCCAACCGAGATGTACGTTCCAAGCGACGCATCACTCGTATCGTTCCTGGCCAAACATACTGACCCAAACAATGTTACTTCGACGATCGAAGCAATGTTTGGAAATGTATCGGTGCCAGCTTCTCAAAGTGACCAGACTCCATTGATTGGTGTGAATGGAAGTGACCAGAATAAGGATGCCAATGGAAATTACTTGACGCCAAAAGAGAATGACGTGAGACCAACTGTAGATACCACTGAATTGGCGAATGGAATGATGGCCAATCGTTCGATAATCGATCCAATCGTACCAGCTTTGATTGCACAACCGAATACTGCTGTGGATTGGCCTCAAGAACTGCCCACTTCGACTCCATTCCATGGCTTGGTCGAGGAATCCGAAACGAACGCTTCAAGCTGTGGGTCGTTCCAGCGATTCTCATCATTTTTGGACAGAAATATCGATCCAAACGATGTCACATCGACGATCAACGTAATGCTTGGCAACGCATCAATGATAACGGCTCAAATCGATCAGTCTCAAGCGACTGATGCGATTGAAAATGGGCCAAACGATGCCAACAATGGAATTGGCATCGTCGAAACAGCGAATATAACGACACCACCCGATTCAACTGGACCAGAGTTCAGTGATTTGGCCGACATCAACTCGATGAATGCTCCAGAGAGCGAATCAAACGACGCCCAACTGCCGAATGAAACGGTTTTTGGTGGGTCTATTGACATTGACGATGAGATTTCGGCTGATGAACAAGCTGCATCGAGTACACGAAGCAACGAATCAACCAACCAAGTGACAGAATGCACGGATTTGACCTGTGAAGATGTCCAACCATCGTCAGAAGGCGCCAGCCATCACATCGAGCGAAATGGTGTGCGACAAGGAGGAAAGCAGCGACGAAAAAGGAAAATTGCTCATGCAACGACGTCGGATGGAAGTGCGAAGAAGAAACGAATTACGGGCACACGATCGACACTGAAAACCATTCCGGAATTGAATTCAGGTGAGACATTCAAATCGATACAAGCAAAGACTTGGTTTACATTTTGGTCATGATTTCGATTTACTTTTTTCACAGAAGTGGCATTGATTGACCTGACATTGAACGAGATCGAGAGTACTGAACAAGCGAGCAGTACGAGCAGTCAGCCAGTCCAAGAGGAAGGTACTGACTCGAGTGGAGCTGAAAGTCAAAGTGTATCGACATCGAACGCGAGACATGTAGCAAGGAATAACGGCGGCATTGTCAAACGTGGAGGTGAAAATGGGTCGAATGGACTTAAGTATGCATTTTGTAAACACATAGCTTCACAAAAATCGAATTTGACTAGACACGAACGCATACACACTGGCAAAACGCCATTCAAATGTATAGTTTGTGACAGAGGATTTACTCGCAAAGATCGTCTTATTGGACACATGGGAACCCACACGAATAAATTCCCGTTCCATTGTCCGATTTGTCGTCAAGGATTCAAGCTGAAGGAGGAAAAGGAAACGCATGAAAAAGACTGCAACGTACGTCGATATGAATGCTATTTTCGCGAGTGCGGGTTTTACCATTTCAACAAATCAGATTTAGTCAGGCATATGCGCATTCATACCGGAGAGAAACCATTTCGTTGCTCCCATTGTTCACAACGATTCACTCAAAAAGGTGTTTTAAATCGACATTTCAAACGTCGCCACAATAAGACCAAATGTGTCGTTGAGAATAAAAATGGGATTAGCCGAAACCGCGTGTTTTTATGCGAATCATTTTTGTGTTTCTGGTACAAGATATGGGGCAAGTATCTCAAGCAAAGATAAAGATCTTGAAATATTCTAAAACATTGCAGCAGACATATGTCTTCTATCTCTTACCAGGAACACAAAAATGATTCACATATAAATGAGCGGTTTCGGCTAATCCCATTTTTATTCTCAACGACACAAATGATTTTATGCAACGCGTTTCGAAGACGTTCCATCGTCGAGAGATGTCTAGAGACACATTAGTTTTTGTGATTGTATCACATTCAGAAATGTATGTTTCCCGTGTGAAAAAATAGTAACTGAGCAGTCAGTTAACTAATTTGGGACAAAAATGACTTACTTTGATTGACATTTCAGTACAAAGTGTAGTGTAAGTCTATCATAGTTAACTGAAATCATTTGAAGTTACAAGTCAATCTAAGTTGCTTCATTTGGGACCAAGTGATTTTCTTAGAACAAAAATATAAATTCAATCAACTAAAGTCAACTGAAGTTATAGTCAGTCAGTCATTTCTTTTTCACACGGGTTATCACTTGATTGTGCGTAGAAAAGAAGAATCTCATAATTTGTACGAATATTGATGAAAATCAGCTCGAAAATGTTGTGATTTAGCGTGTTCAATAGAATAAAACGGACTTAGAATTAAGTTTCACATACAGAAATATCCAAATTGAAGTATTGTGACATAAAACATTTGTTGTTCGTTAATAAAATGATAGAAATTACTCGAGACATACTTGGTTTTCTCTTCTCTGATATTTGACTGGAGAATTCTTTGTTCTTGTTTGGATTAAACCAGAGCGTCTGAAGCTTTGGCATCCCGAGGGGATAATTTCAATTAAAAAAAATATTTGTAGAGATAATTTTGTTTGTTGAATTCCACAATTCCCAAATTAAGAACATTTCAAAATTCAATCTTGAAAGTGCATTCTATCTAGTATAAGCCGCCCAGAAAAAAGTGGGGACTAAAAAAAGGATCATATGTCCTAGCTTTTGCATGGGTAGATTTTATTACAAGAGTTAATGTGAACAACAATTTTCCAGCAGGGGGTAAATTGAACCTCGGACTCTGCTTCAGAAGCTCTGGGAAAGACTCATAAATTGACTGAAGTCACATTAGAACTATGCATCCCGTTATATCATGTGCTATCTGATAAAAAAAAGTTTGAAATCATTCATGAAAACAAAATAAATCTTAGTTTACAGAAGGAATGGATGTCGTCGAAAAATACATGATTTTTTTCAAAAATCATGAGTGGCCCGGAATTCCTCAAACACTAAGGTTTCTAAAATGAGCGTGTATGAATCATTCAATGGATGTTCACGCAAAACTCCCTTTTTGAGTCAGAATATCAATGGTAAACGATAATTATAAATATATTTTTCCAAGTTGATTCTTCAAAAAATGTTATGAAAACAATGCAAACATGAACAGTCAATGAAAATATTTGGGACCTCATAGTGCAAAGTCATCACAGAGAGCTAACAATACAAGTACACGCGTCGAGTGGGGGTAATGGAAAGACGAGATTGGACTGAAATTGACATTACAATGTGTCAAACTATTCAACTAAGGGAAAAAAGCGGTGAATATTCATGCAAAATATATGCTACAAAAAACCGTCATATTTTACTTGGAAATTATTGAGTGCGATCGCATAGAGTGGGTGAACCCGATCTGGTTCAATGTATTCTAGAACTGTGGCACTCATTTTTAGCATGATTCATTGAAATGAAGAATTTTCCTTGTTTTGAGTATATGTGTTTATTTTCAAGTGACGTGCAAATAATTCAGTGTAATCAATAACGAAGTGGAATGAATAACAGCATCAAATACTTACCACGTTAATGTTATTTTCCTTTTTATACGAATAAAGACTGCAAATACCAAAAAAACTCATCGAGAAAAATCAAAATGAAACCACAATCGATATATTCACAGTAAAAAAAAACGAATTTATTATGTTTCTTTGTCGATTCATTGAACAAATGAGAATAGTTCAGAACATTGAAATAATTACAGAGAAACGAAAGCGTCATAGACCGATAAAATATTGATAAATTCAACGTTTGTCTGTGGCCACTTCGAACAAGTGTTCCGAATAGCTCAATATGGTTTGCTATTTGCTTAGAAAAAGAAAACATTCCCATCAATTTGTTCCACTTGAATATGTGTGAATGGCTCAATACAATCTAAATATCTTAGTCAATAAAAATTTGTTATCTCCACCTGCACTGCCTACTTAATAATTAACGTTTTTGTCAATAAAAACACGACAATGGTCAATGAAATTGGTTAAATATGAGTTTGTCGATTCCTTACTCGGTATTTACAGAGGCAAACAAAAAAAAAAAATTAAACACGTTCCTAATCAAAGGTGATCTACGAGCCAAAGAAATTTGTTGCTCCACTACAAATGAAAAGTCATAATTTTAATAAGAGAGGTGCTTATAATCTAAAAGACAACGGCGTCATGTTCCAGCCGGATCTGTGTTCACTAGGGTGTTTTTGATATCAGTCAAATGAAAAGTGCCTATTTTTGATATAAAGAGCACCAAATTCTGCGTACATTGATGGCATTAACACAACACATCGATTGCTATTCACACTTCCCGAAACAAAAAACTGTTGTAAAGTCTGACTATCAATTGCTGTGTATGTGTTATTGTCATCAAACAGTGCAGGAAGTTTCCTCTTTAAACTAAACAGACACCCATTTAATGATATCAACCCCCCGTGCTCAATCTCTCAATGAGTGTATGGGAAATAACGCATATAGCACGTAAAGTCCACTAGACATGGAACGATCAACACATATATACGCTCTTCTGACTCATTTCAAGTTCTGGGTCACAAAGTCGACTCCAGCAGTATGTAATACGCTATTACAAAAATGTTGTTTGAAAAAATTCTATTCTAATTGACATTTCTTATTTCTTATTCTATCTGATTCGTTCAATTGTGAACATGAAGTGCAGCTGAATTCCGAAGAGGTGACAGTGGCCTGAAAAGAAAAAAAAACACAAAAATAAGTTATTAGTACGATATTTTCTCACTTTCATTCACTTTCATTCTAAATTTTAATTCCGAATCCAATTCCAATTCAATCACAATGACTTACCTTTGTATAAGATCAGCTTCGCAGCAGTGATGTCTCGATGCCAACAAGTCTTCAAAATGCGACGATCATGTGACTCTGCTGCATCCTCTTGCTCGGCAGGGTCCGCGTCCTCATCGATTGCTGCGCTTTGTTGCCAGTTTTTCTGGTATGAAATCACCTTAGACACAAAACGTTCAGCTTGATTTGGATCCTGTTCCACTGCTTCACGCATTCGTTGTCGATCCGCTATCAGCGTGCGCTTGCTCTTCTTCGACACGATTTTCGTTGGTAACTGCAAATTTGGTGGCCAATCATCGTTATCTGGCAGGCACCATTCGCATACTTTCATTCGATCACGTTGTGTTGCTATGTCGAACGGGGTGAAACATCTACCGCAAAGCTGTGATGTTCTGTTCTCGTTGACTTGTCGCACGACGGTGTTCGGAATCTTTCTGAAGCTCTTTGCCAACTTACGGTTGCCTGGACAACGAACATGTTTCTTGATTCGGATCGGAGAATTCGCCGGCATATCAACGGCTCCCATGTGAATGATGGATGGTTTGCGATTTGTCTGTTGAAAATACAAAGAACACATTATTCATTCAAAACAATCGCCCAACTAACGAAATATGCCAATATGAAAACATCTATTCTTACCAGTAAATTAGCAATCTTATCGGTTGCACGGTTTGATTGGATGTATTTGTCAAATTGCAGACGGGCGTATTTTTCTGTTGTATACGTCTCAATTCCTTTCTTCAGCATTGTCAAACGATGTGCGATGTAAGACCCCCAATTTTCACCTTTTGGCGATGGCATCCGTTGATAGCGTTCACGGTCATGCTGTTCTTCGGCCACAAATCGCCTTGTCCATCGCTTTGCCTTCCTATCCCGAACACCCTGCCTGGCCAGATAATGGTACCTCTTCGAGCTGACCGTGAAGTTGATCTGTGGGAAAATGATAAAAAATGAAATAATGCACTCAATCACACGATTTGAGACAACACAAACACAAATTGAAACTAAAATGCAACTCACCTCTTTGCCAGTTTTGATATTCCGTCTGACTGTCGCGTTCCAGGTACGCATGCCGGGATCAATCCCAATCTCGTATACGTACACACCATCACGATACCGTTTCCGCACGATTTCATCGTCTACTAAACGATCCAGGTGACTCTTCGGTACTTCGTACATAATGGATACCGCTTGACCATTCGAGGCAATGTAGGGCCGGAAACGTTTGTTTGATTTCAACAGGCGATGTATCTTTGGCATATCGAAAATCTCATCCCAACACTGCGTCATGGGGTCCTCCACAATTTCGTACTTGATTATTAGACCATGTAATCTGAATCGCATTTCGGACATCATTCGAATGAGAACGTCCGTCTCCATTTTCACGTGCTGTCGCATGAACTGATGAATCGGAATGACTTTGAGATTTTTGATCTTCGGAATTTCAATGCCATTTTCCTCAGCCCAAATGTGGAAATTGTCCACCTCCATTTGCATAGTCAACCACATGTTGATTGATTTGAACCATGTTCCTTCCGATGTTGTGTATATTGCGACATCATTATCTTCTGGCCCGCCAATTTCCGCAATCATATCGAGAAGCAATTGGCGCTTCTCCCACTTTACTTCCCAATGTCGGTCGGTTGTTTTGATGGGATCATACCGATCGATGGTCCATTGCACGGCACGCTTGATATCATCGTTGCGTAATGTGGGGCCAGTTGAAACAGCGTTAAATTGCCACGCACGCATTATGAGATATTGGTACAGGCGTCTTTCGGCATGCATCTCCAAATTGTTGCGCAAATTCGTGGTGTATTGCTTGTAGAGGTATTGCATCTGGTTTCCGAAGAAGCTATTACCCGGCCAACTGAATCGGTTTTCGGCCTCCATATTCTCCACGAAATCACGAAAATCTGGAACCATTTCTTCCTTCTCTTTGTTTTTTTGTAAAACTGCATAAAAACAATCCTTAATTTCCTTGTTGCCATCACCACTGAAGAAGTCCGCATTATTACTTTCGTTGGCACTCTTAACTTTGTACAGGAAGAGCAGCGAAGCTAACGCGCAGATTTTGGTGCATTCAATCGACTTTTGGGTGAACCAATCTTTCACTTGTTGATAATATTGTGGTCGAACGATAGCCTTCAATGTCATTTTTATCGCTAGAATGCCGATTTCTCCTTCAATACCCGTTTTGCTGACTATTTTCTTCTTTTTCCGCTGGTTACCGCGAAGTGGTGTACCCTTTCTCTTCGGCATTTTGGCTGAAATGAAATCAAAAAAAGAAGAAAAAAACAACAAAAAACAATTATAGAAAATATGAAAAAGATATATCCACTTGAAAATGCAATTCAGAAAAGAAAAAAACAATTGAAAACACCGAAGAAACAGAAAGAGAAATTGTAATTTGAAAAGTGTATCAAAGTCACGTCTTACATCAGCAGGCAATGCAACTCGTCTGACTGAATTCGATTCGCTTCGTTGTGTTTCGTTGCGGTCGTATGATGAAATTCACATCGACTCATCGATGTCACCGAGTCTGTCAAATGATCCGCTAATTTCGTTGTGTCAAAATGTTAGCAGTGCCACTTTGCAAATGTCCAGTTAGTTTTGTATCACAACGGTAACATGAACAAAATTCGCCGCAAACATGTCTTTGCTTTTTTAGCACACAAAATCGTCCCATTGTATACACTCACTGTCTTACGGTGGAAAAAGAACAAACGATTATCACTAGTTTTGCTGATCTTTCATTAAAAATGAATACGGAAACAGAAACCACAGTGGCTAAATCCATTTTTCGTGCAATCGACACAGTAGCAGCGTTAAAACTGTGAACTGCCATTGTTCCTTGCCAAAACAACACATTGAATTCATACTGTGGTCAACTGAATCACATCTGTGTTTTGGTGTTTCGCATGGAATTTTTTTTTCGTGAAACGGTTTATTGTATGTGTTTGCAACGAACCGGCGGCATCGTGTTCGTCCTAAATATAGAATGTACGCATGCAGCACAACGCTGGACTGGAAAAATAAACAAATAATATGTTCGTTCCGTTGAACATTTGTTTATTTCATGAAATGAAGCGTATATTAGGAATGAGTTGACTTCCTGTTCGATGATCTGAATTTAAAGAATTGATGTGAAACTAACATCGACGAAATGGAGATGAAAGTATTTGTTACACATATTTTTTGCTTCGGGAAGTGTGAATAGCAATCGATGTGTTGTGTTAATGTCATCAATGTACGCAGAATTCGGTGCTCTTTATATCAAAAATAGGCACTTTTCATTCGACTGATATCAAAAACACCCTAGTGTTCACACCCATTCGGCGCGTTGTTATGTTTTCTTTGGATTGAGCAGTGGCGTTTTTTCCGCTGCTGGTCGTACATTTTCAGGATATGCGGTTGATCGTGTATGGCTTTGTGATGGCATTTGTGAACCGTCTCGATGCGGCAATTGCCATAGGTGTTGCTGTTGACTTGTTGGTGGCACACGGATCGAAGAGCCACTTCGTCGACGATTTTGCCGGTGGAACAATTCATGTAGGTACAATGTACTTAAGCACATATCAGCTGTGGTAAGATCACTAGACACTGGTTCGTAGCCGCCCGTTTGCCCATAGAGGCTGTGGAATAGGCTACGGTCGTGTGATGCATTCATCGGACCTTCACGGTGTGAAGCTCCTCTGAGCACACTTGATGTCATCGCCGATGAGGCAAGCCTATGCCCTGGCGATTCTTCGGGCATTGGTGGATTTTCTGCATTCTCGTCCTGCTCATTCTCTTGAATATTTTGCAAATTACTGCGATATGCCATGGATGCACCGTCGGACAAGTGCTGCTGAAGCATTCGATTGAAGTCGTAAGCGTGTGATGGCATATCGGCATCTGGGTGATGTGATACGTGGATTGAATTACGGAACCCGGGCGAGAATTGAGACATACCCATGTTGAATGCATCGTATCGCTGAGGCATTATCAAGGAGTCAACAATTGATGAGTACTGAAATTAAGACGAAGACATGAATTTTTAGTGGTTTTGAACATTTTTTCAAAAAAATTCGTAATTCTTAAATTTTTTTTTTCTCCAAAAATCGACAAATATTCCATTCGAAAAATTATTTCGACAAAATTCCCTACCTGACCACCAAGATTGCCCACCGAAAACAGGCTCTGTCCCATCGCAGTGTTCATAACTCCCGTCTGGCGAGTTCGATTGAAGTCCTGTTGAGCATGTCGCTTCAATCCATTCATGAAATTATGTGCATCCGACGGCATTTTCCATTCCGGATTGGTCAATGTGAAATGAACCAACGACAGTTCCGTTTTTCCATGTTCACCCTGAGTGTACTTATTTGTTTCACACACTGGGGCGGTAGCACCTTCGGTTAAATCACCTTCAGTACTGTGCGTTGGTTGCCATTCCGAATTGCCGTGTTTACGAACGTCCATCTGAGCAAACGAGCACACATCACCCACACCAACAACAGAAACCGTAAAGTTGCGGAAGAAATCCACGTAATCCAATGCTTTGGGTCGAATATAAAATAGCAGTATGAACGGTGTTGTTATCGGGCTCAGCAATTCGGAGATTAGATAAAACACACGCAACTGGAAAAATTGACCGAATTGGCTTCGCACATGACTGGTATGGGCCAATCCTTTCCAAGCCACCGGTAAATAGTGAGTGTGAGCCAAAACTGCTGTCATCAATTGCTCCGGACAAAATATAAGATTTTCGTCGGGAATCAATACTCTGAAAAAAAAGAACACGCGGATACATGATTTAGCAAAGCGAAAAAAGTTGTGGAAACAATTGCGATTTTTTTTTCGATGCAAATCAAAATGCATAAAAAACGACGAAAAAATTGAGTACAAAAATTTTAATGAATAAAGAATTGCCGCTAATTGCACGATATTGGTCTTGTTTTTGGTCTGGTTAGCAGACAATGATTGAAGTTTGACGTTTTTCTCAATTTTTTCTCGATTTTTCCTTGCATCATTTACCTTGACACAATGGCCAAAAGTGTGAGTATAGAAACCACTTGAAAGATGTGCTCAATATGAGCGATGTCCTCGTCGACAAACATGAAAAATAGGAAAATCATTGTTGACACACCGCCGAATAGAAACGAGAGTTTTCTGTGAAAGAAAAATTGATTTATAATATTTTTATGGAAATTAAAAATTTCAAGTAACTTCTTGCCAATGTTTTCTGAATGTTGTTTTTCTAAATTTTATCATAATAAAGAAAAATATGATCCATACCTAGCGATAACGGCTCCCATTGGTGATGAAAATGATTCCATGTACTTGACGGCTGGCTTATAGGCTCGATTCAGACGGGCTTGCAACTCATGGTCCAATTCATTGAAGTGTCTCATGTAGAGCATACCATATTGCGACCAGCACCGAATACCTAACACACCCGGATCTCGTTTTACCAACTGAAATATAATGATATATTAATTTTGGAGAATAAACATGACGAAAATTTATAAGAAAAATTATGAAAATAAATTACAGAAAAATTAAGTTGGAAAAAAATATGCGATTTTTAAAAATGAAAATAACAGGTTTGGATTAAAAATTTAAATAAAAAACCAGCAAATTCAATATCATATTTTTAAATACATAAATTAGTATCTTTTTGAAATTCCATCTAGGAAATTAATTGACAACTTACATCACCGTAACTGAAAATGCAGAAAATCGTCGCAAACAAAAATATCACTGGGGCAAAGATCAAATTAATGAGACCAGCGTAGAAAATGTACTTCGACAGCTGCTGGGACAGCTCAGTTCGATTGGTCGAACGTTTGTATTGTTCCTTTAGATGCCAATTATCGAACACTGACCATGGGCTTCCTGAATATCAGATCAAAAATACGAGATTAGTTTGATTGAACGGACAATTGACTTAAATTGTCATGTAAAGTTAACATTGTAAACTCAGTCAGACAATGCTAAGTCAGTGAATTGCTACTAGAAAAAAAAAATTACTAAAAATTAATTTGCTAATAAAACTTACGGAAAAATATCAGCTCCAAATTGAATCGTAGACTTTTGCTGAAAAAATTTGTCTCACCCGCCAAAGGCAAATTGATGGTCGTCTGAATGAGATTCTTATTCATCATAGCTACCATGTAATTCTTGAACCTGTAAACAAAAAGACGAAATATTCAGAATATACGCTTTTGAAAAATGAATAATCAAGTCAGTATTCGACAAAAATACCTCAAAATTCGATGATAAATATCCAATTCGGTAAGGTGCTCTTTGTGGATGCACATTTGTTGCTCCATTTGCACCTCACGTATTCGCCGTTGCACATCATGCCACGTATAATTGCCCAATTCACTCTAGAAATAAATTAGAAAATTATTTTAGCATTTTTGTAATTTTTTCGTATTCAAAGTTTTTTTGTTGAAATTTTCCGCAAAAATAAAATCGAAAAAGTAAGAAAATCATAAATTTAGTTTGATTTTATCTTATTGGGTCTGGGAATTAATCGTGTCGATTTTTCAAAAGATGGCGTAACTTTGCATGGTTGTATCGGGCAATACTTTTTTCTTTTTCACATGAGTGGTCTAGTGTCAAACTACAAAAATCATCATCTATCATTTCATCGAAGTTTGGATAAACATTTTTTTTTGCGCCTTAAATATGTCAAATTTTGTACCGAAAAAACAACATTTCCCGCAAGCATTAATTTTTTGCTTTCATTTGAAGAAAACTGCGGCTGAAGCGCATCGAATGTTGGTGGAAGCCTATGGTGAGCATGCTCCATCGGAACGTACATGTGAACGGTGGTTTTCACGGTTCAAAAGTGGTGATTTTAGCACGGAAGACAAGGAACGTCCCGGCCAGCCAAAAAAGTTTGAAGATGCGGAATTGGAGGCATTGCTCGATGAAGATTCGAGTCAAACTCAAGATGAGCTTGCCAGAGCATTGAATGTTGACCGAAGCACTGTTGGATATCGTGTAAGGGCCCTTGGTTTCATTCGCAAGTTGTCAAATTGGGTACCACATGAATTGACGCCAGCGCAAGCTGAAAGGCGTTTAGTGACTTGCGAAATGCTGCTCGCAAGGCACAAAAAAAGAGGTTTTCTGTATCGAATTGTCACTGGTGACGAAAAATGGATTCATTACGATAACCCCAAGCGCAAAGCATCGTATGTTACGCCCGGCCAACCAGCAACATCACAGCCAAAAAAAGGAATTCACGGCGACAAGGTAATGCTGTGTATTTGGTGGGATGAGGAGGGAGTGGTGTATTATGAGCTGCTGAGAAGTGGTCAAACCATCGATGGGCCTTTCTACCGACAACAATTGATACGTTTGAAACAAGCAATCAAAGAAAAACGCACGAAATGGGAGACCAGAAAAGAGACATTGATTTTCCTACATGACAATGCTCGGCCACACATTGAGAAATCGGTCAAAAACTACTTGGAAAATAGCGGATGGGAAGTTTTGGCTCACGCCCCGTATAGCCCAGACCTGGCTCCTTCCGACTACCATTTGTTTCGATCGATGCAAAACCATATGGACGGAGAGCGGTTCTCTTCAGTTGAAGAAATCCAAAATTGGCTCGATGCATTTATAGCCTCAAAAGATGAGGAATTTTTTAAGGCAGGCATCCGTCAATTGCCCACATTGTGGCAGAAGGTCATCGCTTCCGATGGACAATATTTTGATTGAAATGTAATTTCATTTTGGTATTCAAATAAATGTTTGAAAATTTAAAAAAATCGACAAAACTAATTCCCAGACCCAATAATTATGATGAAAATATTTGCAAAAAAAAATCTTTTTTCTGTTTTGAAATTTTTACGGTTTAATTTTGTCTAAAACATTTTTTTTATCCACAAGAAGATAAGATATGCATTGACCCTCGTCGAATTTACGAACGAAAATACAGCGATAACGTAAATTCCAACGGATTATTAGAAAATGAGCACGTGGACTTTATAGTTTAAAACGTGCGTGTCGAATGTTCGGCCAGTCTCGGAGGGGTCAAAAATTACAGTGTCAGCACAGCTGATAGTAAACGAGAGTAGATCTAAAAATAGTCTGTATTGATGCCAACAACACAGTTCAATGTGCAAAAACGTGCATCCAACGTTGGATAATTTTAGCAGATTGTTGCTCTCTATCTCGATTTTAAACAGATTTTTCTGGTTGGACACCAATTTATGGGCATAAAATGAATGAAATCTATGAGTATTATAGTGCTACCATAGTAAGA